ACACAGACCCTGTTTGTTGGACCAGGAACTGGACGAGTGATCAAATTTCTTGACCCTTGGTGGCTGTTGGAGTAGAACAGCCTATCATAGTGATGGATTTTCTGGTAACTAGAGCATCATTTAGGGACGTGGGTGGAGCTGTGGGTTAAACCACAGAGCCTAGGACTTGTCGATCAGAAGGTCGGCGGTTCGAATCCCTGCGACGGGGTTTGCTCCCGTTGCTCGGTCCCTGCTCCTGCCAACCTAGCAGTTCGAAGGCACGCCAGAGTGCAAGTAGATAAATAGGCACCGCTCCGGCGGGAAGGTAAGCGGCGTTTCCGTGCGCTGCTCTGGTTCGCCAGAAGCGGCTTAGTCATGCTGGCCACATGACCCGGAAGCTGTACCCCGGCTCCCTCGGCCAATAAAGTCAGATGAGCGCCGCAACCCCACAGTTGGTCATAACTGGACCTAATGGTCAGGGGTCCCTTTACCTTTACCTTTAGAGCATCATTTGGGAACCAAGGAAGTTGTGCTAAATCTAAGAGCAACTGGTAATCTAGCTCACAGTGTATGGCTTGCCCCAGTGTTTCCCAAACTTGCGTCTTCAAATGTTTTTGGACTACATCTCCTATCATCCCTAACTAATGGTTGTAGTCCAAAAAAGCTAGATACCCAAGTTTGGGAAACACTGGTCTACACTAACAGACAGTAGCTCTCCAGGTTCTCCACCAGGGGCATTTTCCAGTCCTACCTAGTTGCATGCAAAACATGTGCTCCACCACTGAGATAAGGCTGACCAAGCTAAGGCTGGATGATAAGGGAGACAATTTGCTGCTAGCCCACCACTCCAGTGTAGGGTTATTTTTGGTTAGGGGTGGGGAGCTTCTAACCCACAGGCCTAATTGGGCCCCCCAGGTCTTCTCACTTGGCCACCAGGCCATTTCAGCCAAGCTGCATCCACTTGCTCTACACTTGATGACATCAGGTGTTGGGCAGGAGGAAAACCTCCACCAGCCAAAAGTTTATCTCCTGCCTTTAAGGAGGATATTGACAAGCTGGAAGGTGTGCAGAGGAGGGCAACCGAGATGATCAAGGGTCTGGAAATCAAGCCCTATGAGGAATGGTTGAGGGAGGTGAGTATGTTTAGCTTGGGAAAGAGGAGCCATCTTCAAATATCTAAAGGGCCATCACCTGGAAGATGGAGCAAGCTTGCTTTCTCCTGTTCAGGAGGGAAGGACACGATCCAATGGCTTTAAGTTACAAGAAAGGAGATTCTGACTAAACATCAGGAAGAACTTTCTGACAGGAAGAGCTGTTCAATAGTGGAACAAACTCCCTTAAGGTGGTCATGGACTCTCTGTCTCTGGAAGTTTTTAAGCAGAGGTTGGATGGTCATCTGCCATGGATGCTTTGGTTGAGATTCCTGCATTGCAGGGGGCTGGACTAGATGACCCTCGGCACCCCCTCCCAACTCTACAATTCTGATTCTTTCAAACTTAGCCCGTGAGATGGGGGTGATCACAATCCAATTCCCTTCCCCTGCTCTTGGTTAATATATGCCCAACATACTGGGGAAAAAAATTAGATAATGGTGGGAACCCCATCTAAAAACAAGCCCAAAAACAGACCCCAACACAACGTAAGGGAAAGCTATATTTTTTGCTTTAACTAAAAATTAAATCCGTGCATAGGAAATACTTACAGATAAAATTTGGTCTCCCCTCTGAAGCTCTCCACTGAGGTCGGCTGGCCCACCCGCTAGGATGAAGGATACAAAAATGCCTTCGCCGTCTTCTCCGCCTACGATGTTGAAACCGAGTCCTGTTGACCCCTTGTGCAGGACAACTTTGCGAGGTTCTCTGTGGAAAGAAAAGGACATTGCTCATTCATTTAAGAGACCTGGATTCAGGACCAGCCCACCTATGAGGCAAGGGGAGAAGACTGCTTCGGGCAGAAGGGTCCATCAGGACAGCAGATCCCAATGTTGATCTTTCTCGACCCCTGCCCCTTTGATCCTGATGTAGATCTTCCCTGACCTCTTCTTCCCTTGTGGGGTGGGAGAGGGACCATTTTAAGCCAGCCTCAGGTGCCAAAATGTCTTGGGCTGCCTGGATTGTATATGTCTCCTATTGAGTAGTTCCTTTCCATTTCCCTCCATAATAACAGGCACTAGATGGACCATTGTGTTTGATTCAGTATTAGGCAGCTTACCGTGCTGTTGCCATATCCTTTTTCCCCCCCACTTTCTCCTCCCTCAGCTATCTCTTTGTGTTTTATACATTTTTAACATATTAACAATCATACAACAGAACTTCTCCTCTTATACAATATTTTTTGGACTTCTGTCAACACCTCTGATGATTTTCCGTTCTTATCACGTATTATGCATTTCTTAATTTCATATTACCTTTAATTATCTTTAACTAATAATTCTCTTCATTGTCTTTTTTGCAATATTTCAAATAATTCACCTTACAAAACTTCTTGCAAACCTACTAGTGTAATCTGTTCATCACAATTACTTTTCAAATAGTCTGTAAATTTACTCCAGTCTTCTGAGAATCTCTGGTCCCGCAGGTTTCGAATCCTTATTGTTACTTTATCTAATTCTGCATAGTCCATCAATTTCATCCTCCATTCTTACTATTGCCTTATCCTAATATCGTATTGACCAATGAGATACTTCCCTTTATGTTGACATAGGCAAGCATATATAGACACATGCCAATGTACAAATCGGCAGCAACTGGGAATCCAATAGAATCGCAAATACATGGCTTAGGTCCAAGTTATCTGAAATACCCTATCGCCCCATGTGAACCTGCCTGGATTTTGAGATCTTTGGAGAGGGTCTTTCTCCCACTTGGTGGGGTTCTGGGAGAGGGCCTTTACTTGCACTTCAAAGTGGCACAGTCACCTCTATTGATTTGAAACTCCGCCGCTCAGTTCTGCTATGGGCACAGACCTTTCGTTAAATAGAATGGACTGCTATAAAATACATTTCCTGCATCCGGCCAGTAGATGGAGCTGGCAGTCCAGTTTCTGAGCACCCACAGTTCTTGCCCGTCCATAGTTAAACACTTTTCATTCCTCTTTCTCTCTCTTCCCCCTACCTGCTTTACTCTATTTTTATTTCTCACCACGCTCCAAGGATTTTGGAGCAACAAAGATGATATTCTTCAGAAGCTGCAGGCATGTGTAGCATCCAACATTGGTCAAATAATGTTTTTTTGTTTTTGTTTTAGGTGCAAACCAGGGGAAAGTAGGAATAGATGCTACCCACCAGAGAAGGGAGCTAAAATTGTTGCTGCAAAGAGACCGGTCCACTGATAAGTTCTCCTGAGCAAGACCCACTGAAATGGCGCCAGAAGTATAAATGGGGATTGCACTGAATAAGTTCCCAATAGATGGGGTGCCACCCCCCAAAAATAGCCAGAACAGGAAAAGGAAATCTCTGTTGAGCAGCTTTCCTCAACCTGGTTGTTGGCATTCATCTGTCTGAAGAGACAACGGAACGTGCACCTGGGGTTGAAGTCAAACCTCTGAGGAATCACAGCGCCTGCTGTGGCTGCAGAGACCGGGAACTCACAACTGCTGCCTCCTGCATTGTTTGATGCTTTTGAATTATGGTGCTTGAGGAGACTCTTGAGAGTCCCATGGACGGCAAGAAGATCAAACCTCTCCATTCTGAAGGAAATCAACCCTGAGTGCTCACTGGAAGGACAGAACCTGAAGCTGAGGCTCCAATACTTTGGCCACCTCATGAGAAGAGAAGACTCCCTGGAAAAGACCCTAATGTTGGGAAAGATGGAGGGCACAAGGAGAAGGGGACGACAGAGGATGAGATGGCTGGACAGTATTCTCAAAGCTACCAGCATGAGTTTGACCAAACTGCGGGAGGCAGTGGAAGACAGGAGTGCCTGGTGTGCTCTGGTCCATGGGGTCACAAAGAGTCGGACACGACTAAATGACTAAACAACAACAAAGCAGCACCAAAGTGACCTCCATGGGGTGCAAGCTTGCGTAGTGTGTATGGAGGTCCTGGGGTGTGACAAGACTCCACTCTCGACCTCGCTGATGTGATCCAAAGAAAAGCAGAGCAATACATTTGGCAGCATTTGCCGAAAAGAGTCGTACAACACGCCATCCAACCGTCTTAAGAACTCCACTCTGGTTCTGTGTAGGCTTTACTCTCGAGCCTTTTCTTCTTCTGAAGTCCTGCAAGTCACATGTTGGCCATGTTGGGTGGGGCTGATGGGAGTTTTAAACCAAAACATATGGAGGATACGCAATTGGGAAAAGTCACTGCAGACCATGAACTCAGTGAAGGCTGTTCCATTAGGGCAACTGGGGAGCTAACCCACCAACCTCAGTCTGCCCTCAGCCAGTTCCCACCTGCCTGCTTCCTCCTGAGTCTCAGGTTTGCCCTTGCAGAGCTCAGCATGGAGGATGATGGAGTCAGAACTGGAATTAGTTGGCTCTGCCTATCGCCGACTCTGCTTGTCATGGGCTCCAGCTCTGCCTTCTTTGGGCCTCCTTGCCTTCCACCCAAATGGTCCCAATAGGTGACCAGCCACCTCTGCATGTCATGTACTGTACTCTGATAAAAGCCTTGGTGAGTTATCAACACAGAGAAGTCAGACGGGGATAGGATATACCTGGTTCCTCGAGGCCATTCTCCAGCTACCCCAGCAGTACATATTTTTCCAAACACAACAACTCCGTGAAGAAAAGAGGAGCTTAGTTTGGACATGAAAGTGAGCGAAACCTAAGATAAAGTCCATCTTTAGGCACCTTGCATGACTTCAGGGCTATCTAGTGTGGCCAAACTAGAATGAATGAAGCTAAGTCAGTCATGCCCATTACTTTCAACAATTCTGCTTTAAGACTGGCATTGAATACAGTCTATGGGAAGACCGTAGGAAGCTGCCTTATATTGTGTCAGACCATTGATCCATCTAGCTTTGTATTGCCTACATTGACTGCCAGGATTTCGGACAGTAGCAGTTCCTTATCCTATATGGAGATGCTGGGAATTGAACCTGCAACTTTCTGTGTGCAAAGCAGGTGCTCTACCACTGAGCTAAGGCCCTTCCGCATACATTCAGAGCTGTTTTATAGTGTGTCAGACCCTTCATCTATCTTGCTCAGCACTGTCTCTACATTGACTGGCAAAGGTTTATGGCCTTCTACCAGGGACCTTCTGCGTGTAAGGGAGATGTTACCACTGATCTACAGCCCTTCACCATGTCAGCTGCCCCCTTCCAGATTTCCCCTTTCTTTCTGCCCCTATTTCCAGCAGCTACTTTGACATCAGCATGCTGTCACGTTGCCACACAACCAATCAGGACTGGAAGATGTGACCATGTTACAAAGCCAAGTGAGAGCAAGGGCAAATGCTGAATGGGCACTCTGAATGGGCAGGTATTTTTACCCCATTTCACAGAGCCCACAAACTATTGCCAGAACTGGAAGCGTGTTGTTTTGCAGGGAAGCACAGTGCTCAGGAAAAGCACACTGCCTGTTTTTGTCTGGGACAGATACAAAAGCTGTTCAGGGAATAGTGGAAGGAGCACCTATTTCTGAGACGAAGCAGATTTGAACCTGCCAGCTGCCTAGATAGGGGATTGCCTGTGGCATCATAGGTAGTGCTGTTCTGAGAGCTAGGGAGCAGGAATAAACATATGAATTGCACACAGTTGTCCGTGTATGTAGACACTCAATGTGGCACAAAACTGGTGTAAAGCAATAACGACCCAAGTGAAACTCTTACCCTTCCACAGAAAGGCTCCTCTGTATGCTCACGGTGGGTGGCCGGGTCACTGTGCTGTGCTGGGAATGACTGCGTAGACAGGAAAGAAAAGAGGAATAAATAAAAACATTTGCTCGCAAAGCCTCTCGGTCTTATTGCAACAAGCTCTGGACGATCCAAAATACGACATAGATCTGGGGTTCAGAGAAGCAATATGCGTGTTCCTGAGTGGAGACAGTACATTGGGCTAAGTCGTCATTTCGAGTTTCCACTAGCCGCTCTGGGTGGCTTCCAACAAATTAAAACACCAAACACAGTAAGACATCAAACACTAAAAACTTCCCTATACAGGGCTTCCTTCAGAGGTCTTCTAAAAGTCAGATAGTTGTTTGTTTCCTTGACATCTGATGGGAGGGCGTTCCACAGGAATAATAATAATTTAGTAGTAGGCAATATGGGACGCGAGTGGCGCTGTGGGTTAAACCACAGAGCCTAGGACTTGCCGATCAGAAGGTTGGCAGTTTGAATCCCCGCGACGGGGTGAGCTCCCATTGCTCGGTCCCTGCTCCTGCCAACCTAGCAGTTCGAAAGCACGTCCAAGTGCAAGTAGATAAATAGTACCTTCCCACTCCAGCAGGAAGGTAAACGGCGTTTCCGTGCGCTGCTCTGGTTCGCCAGAAGCGGCTTAGTCATGCTGGCCACGTGACCCGGAAGCTGCACGCCAGCTCCCTCGGCCAATAAAGCGAGATGAGGGCTGCAACCCCAGAGTCGGCCATGACTGGACCTAATGGTCAGGGGTCCCTTCACCTTTACCTTTAGTAGGCAATGGTCTGGTTCAGCATAAACCACCTTTCTATGTCCCTATGCTTTGCATCTAAACAGTCCCTGGTCCATTTGGTCCCAGACATCAGATAACAGAGAGTGTGGAAGACTCTCTGCACAAGACCCTGAAGGGCTGTTGCCAGTTAAGAATGACCATCACTGGATGCATAATTTGACCCATTTCTTAACAGCTAGTTGTTTCTCGGAAACTGCTGCAGGGAAAAATGATAAAATCAAGATTGTACACATTTCTCTCCAGCGTATACATGTCACTGGCTTACAGTAATTCCCCACAAGGCATGTTTAGATATCTCTTTGTCTTCAACAGCACAGCTTAGCTGATCTGTTATGCTGGAAAGTCATGGCTGTTGGTTATCCTGCATGGCATGTTCCACCAATTGAAAATATATCTGATAGTGGCTACTGACCCAGATAGTTATTTCAGCATTGCCAGATGGCATTGCTAATGCCCGAAGCAGCCACAACAGCAAAATATGGAAAATCCACAGCTCTCACGTGGAGCTGTGAGCCCTCTGATGACCTCCCTGAAGTTATCATGTGGGATCCACTGGTTTTATCAGTGTTGTGGCAAGCCCAGGATCAGTTGGGGGACCCTGACACAGTTGCATAGATCCTTGTACGATCCAATGAGGAATGATTCATGCCTGGAATCCCATTGTTCTCATAGGTATTCCCTATGTTGAAGATAATGGGACATGCTCCTTCTGTAGCCCTTTGGAGCACGATCACTGCAGCATGGATCTTCATGTGCCCTCTCCGAGGCACATACAAAACTCCAGTTAGTTCAATGGAGGGATGCAGAGATGCAGGCACTTGTTCCATTGAAGTGAATGGGATAGATAAAGGCATTCTGTGTGCCTTTATCAGAGGCCACCCCCCACACCCACTGCCTGATTGGGGAAAATGTGTATGGAATTGGAATATGACGGGTAACCAAAATAATTTACAAACACAGCAACTGCAGAACCGACTAGCTTGATGCTAATTTAACATGGTTGCTCTCTTCCCCCTCCCTGTCCTGTCTGCACAGATGACTTTAACGAGTTAATTGAATGGAACAGAAAAATGTAAAGCGGGCCAATGAGGCAGAGCTGGCAAATAACACAAGATACTTTTGACACAATGCAAGTCAAACACAGTTCCGTTTCGCAACTCCTCTGGGGAAACTGGCTATGTCTGTCTGGCATCTTGAGGATGCTTTGAAAAGGAACAGCTTACGGACTCCCTTTCCACCTGGGAAAGTGCAAAGAAGAACTACGGAACAAGCCAGCTGATGGAGCGACTTCCTTTGGAGGAAAGGAAAGGAAACCAGCTGCAGAATTTTAACTCACCCTCTCCAATTAGTCTTAAGAAGTGTGCCAGAAATTCAAACCAACGTACGTAACGTCCGCATTTATGAACAAACATGCAACCAAAACAGCCCCCAAATTTACATGGATTCATGATGAGCAACACAGCTAAATTTATGAGCCTTGAATTTGTATACTGGTGAAGGTCGTGAGCTTCCCTCCCACAGTATTCCAGCGGAGCAGAACACATTGCACAATATTCTTTGCTTTGCGGCAAAGACAGGCAAGGCTATCTCCAGCAACATTCTACCATGTTATGAACCATATTGTTTACTTTTATGTTATTTTGATTTGTTGGATGGTCTGGAGTGCGCACATCTGAACAAGCATCCTCAAAAAACAACAGCACAGTTGATAGCACACTATTGTCCATGGAAGTGGGGGTATGTGCAAAAAGTTTTAATTGAGTTGAGACAGGTGTAGAGACAACCCAACATAGATGTTTTCCAAATTTCTTCTCTTTCCTTCTGCTTTTTCTACACCATCTAACTTTATCAAATTCTAGGGCTGGGTGAATATGTCAGTTTTGGTTTTTCTCAGATTCTCAGTTTTGAAATTTTTGATTAAAAACAACAACAACAACAACAACAACAACACAAGTCCTCATGCAAATTCATGTATTTTAGTACAGATTTCACCTAATACACACATTTTTTGCAAAGCAAATTCCCCTAATATAATGTATTTTAAATGTTACTTTCACTAATATATGCATTTTAATGCCCTTTTTGCTTCAGTATATGCATTTTTGTGCATATTACTCAGCAAGAGAACTGCACATCAAAATCTGGAGACATGTGGATTTTGGGGGATGGCCGTGTTTCTATTGTTTCAGCAAATGTGAATTAGGCAGCTTCATTTTTTAAATGTGGACTGAAACCCCCTCATCTTCTTAAAAGAAAGGTGGTTGCTCCACAATCTTTTGGAGAATGGTTTCCATGCATGCAAGCTGCCCTGTAACTGAATGCACCCAAAGGCTCTGCTGGTTGCAGAGGTGAGAAAAAGTAAACTTGCAGCAGAAGTGTTTACATGTCTACACAGAGATAAGTCCTACTGAAGTCAATGGGGCTTACTGCCGAATAGGACTGAAGCTTCAATTACCGTATTTTTTGCTCTATAAGATGCACCAGACCACAAGACGCACCTAGTTTTTGGAGGAGGAAGACAAGAAAAAAATAAATCTTAATCTCAAAAGCCAGAACAGCAAGAGGGATCACTGCGCAGTGAAAGCAGCAATCCCTCTTGCTGTTCTGGCTTCTGGGATAACTGCGCAGCCTGCATTCGCTCCATAAGACGCACAGACATTTCCCCTTACTTTTCAGGAGGGAAAAAGTGAGTCCTATAGAGCAAAAAATACGGTAATTAAAGGTGGCGCATGCAGCGTGCAGAAACACAACAATCTCAACCACAAGAAGAAAAGGAAGGAAGGAAGGAAGGAAGGAAGGAAGGAAGGAAGGAAAGAAAGAAACAGGGAGGAAGGGAATACAGACTCCAAGGAAAAAAGCAATGCAGAAATAAAAAATTATGCATGGGCTGATGAATGAAATATTGTTTTCTATTGAATTAGATATAATAACAGAGTCCGCTCACAAACAGAAGCTAGGGCTGCGATTTCACCTTGGCACTGCAAGGCTTAAAAGCACACATGCAGTCAGTGCTGCTGGAGCTGATTAAATAAAGGCAGAGATGCCAAGCTCAGCACTCCAGGATCTCCTTAAAGGCTTAGCAAGATTTGGTTTGTGAAGTTCGAGAAACCGCCACCGTCGTTTTTATTATTAATAAAAGCAATAACAATGATGTTTAAGGTTGCAATCTTATGTAGACTGACTTGGTAATAAGCCCCCTTGAAGAGAGCGAGGCTTATTTCTGAGTAAACAGCTGTAGGTTTGTGAATGGACCAGTTGCCTTTCATAGAAAAACGCTACTCAATGTGACTTGGGAAAATGCCAAAAACGACAAGCACGGCAGCAAGATAAAAAACCCCGCAATCTGAAATGTTAAAATAACAGGGGTGTGGGGAGTCAGAGAGAGGAGTCAGCAAATTAATAGGGAAACAACAGGCAGAAGTCGCACCTCAGCCTTTATCGCCTTGCTTTATCTGTTGGTCAGAAGCAGTGCTGGGAAACTTGTGACCCTATACAGACACTG